TCTTTAGGCCGAAGGCCATGACAAGGTAGCAGAAGATGCCTTCGGGAGTCATGAAGGCTGTTTCTTCAGCGTCTTCCTCATGCATAAATATTTGATGATATCCGCGGAATGCGTCGAGGAATGACATGATTTCACACCCCGCGGTTTCATCTACAAGTTGATCAATATTTGGCAAAGGAAAGGGGTCCATGGGACACGCCTTGTTGAGATCCGTGTAGTCCATGCACATGCGGAATGAGGGCGGTTTTTGTGCGAGGACTACGTTTGCCAGCCATGAGGGGTACTTTACCTCCTTGATGTGCTTGATAGAGAGGAGCATGGCGAACACCTTCTTCACAAATTCCCTCCTCTCGGCCGAGAGGGGTCTCCTCCGCTGTTGTACTGGTTTGGCCGAAGGGTCCACCGAGAGGCAGTGGGTGATGACCCTTCGGCTGATCCCCGGCATGTCCTTCGGCCCCCATGCAAAAACAATGGAGTAAGCGCGGAGGGCGCTTATGATGCCGGTCTTCAAGTCTTCAGGGAGCTTGGCTCCAATCTTCACGACTCTTTCCGGCTTGGCCGGATCGATCGCGAAGTCTTCTACCTCCTCGGCCGGTTCAGCACTCGGCCTCCTTTCTTCCGCTTCCACAGTTCCGGTGATGGTGTCAATGCGGAACTCCGTCTTGCTAACCTTCTTCGTCACTTGAAGGTAGCAAGCGCGGGCAAGTTTTTGGTTCCCCTTTGAGTAACCGATTCCCCCCTCGGCTGGGAACTGGAGGCAGAGGTGCCTCATGGAGATGACGGCTTCGAGATCCTCGAGGGCTGGCCGGCCGAGGATGATGTTGTGGGCGCAGTCGATGTTGACGACGACGAACACCACCTCGAGCTTGGCTCTATGGAGCCCGTCGCCGAAGAGTACCGGGAGGGTTATAACCCCCTCAGAATCAATGGTGTCGCCGGTGAAGCCGGCAAGAGGGGTCTTGATGGGCCGAAGGGACCCCCTCTCCAGATGCAGCTCTCTGAAGGTACTGAGGTACATTACAATGACGGAGCTGCCCGTGTCAATGTAAGTTCGGTGAATTATAGTGTCATTTATCTCTGTGCGGATGACGAGGGCATCCCTGTGTGGGGAGGACACTGGGGGGAGATCAGCGTTAGTGAAGGTGATGGGTTCCTCCCTCAGCCGCTTTACTGGGGGCATATGAGTGACTTCCCCCACGTAAAGTGACAGAGCCCACTTCTTTCGTTGACTTGTAGAATCACCCCCGGTATTACCCCCGGTGATCATGAGGATGTGGCGCTTTTTTTCTTGGTACCGGGGGTACTCCTCCTCCTCTTCCTCCAGGTTCCCAATCTCCCTCTTCTTGCCGAGGGGGATGGTGTTGGGGTTGACCCATGCATTTGCTCTCGCAGTTTGACCTCGGGTTGGCCCTTGGTGAGGGGAGTCCTGTTGCTGAGGGCCTTGAATAAATTGGGACAAATGGCCCACCTGTATTAATCTTTCGATGGCCGTCTTCAGCTGATGGCAGTCATCAGTTCTGTGCCCCTGATGCCGGTGGAAGCGACAGTAGGGGTAGTTTGGATTGATGGCATATACTTCTGAGGGTGCGCGGGAATCTCGCTCCACCAGGCCTCTCTCCTCAGCGAAATCAAGAATGACGCTGACGGGGTGCGTCAAAGGTGTCCGAGGGTGCTCCAGGAGAACAGGCTGTGCTCAAGCCCTCGGGTTCCCCTTGTAGCCTCCCCCGGGCTTGGCTTGGCCGTGCCGGGGGCGATCACCGGAGGGGGCATAATCCTTGGGTTGATTATGGGGAGCCCCGGCCCCCGGTTGCCTTTGTCGTCTAGCCGAGGGCGTTGCTGATCGGGGACGTGATGTCATTTCTCCACTTCCTCGGCTTCGGCATACCGGTCCCCCCGCTATAGAGCCCTTATATAATCGCGGGGGGGGGGGGGGGGTCCGATGATGAGGCTCCTTGAGAAGTTCCCGGGGCGGAGTACTGTTTGGAGGAAGGCCAGGAGGGTCCCGTCGTCAGCGCCATCAACTTTATCAGCCTCCGTTCTCCAGCGCTCCAAGAAGTCCCGAAGGGTCTCCTCCTTCCTCTGCCTCACTGTCAGCAAGTGGGAGAAGTGGTTTCTTGTGCCGCGCCTTCCCGCAAATTGCGTCAAGAATCGCTGGGCGAGTTCTTGCCATGAATCAATGCAGCCCTCGGGCAATCGATTGAACCATTCGTAAGTCGGCCCCTCCAAGGTGGAAAGGAACCAGCGGCATAAATACTCATCTGCTGCCTCCACCATCATCATGTTGTTTTGGTATCTGCTGTAGTGCTCCTGGGGGTCAGTTTTTCCGTCGTAGGGCTTGATGAGCTGCCCTCGGTATTTTTCCGGGATCCGGGGCGCCAATACCCTTGGGGTAAATGGCGTCCGGGTCCGGAGCTATATGGTGGGTTCCCCGGAGCCCTCGGTAATCTTCCTCTGCATTTCCTCCATCTTGGCCAACATGGCCTCATACTTGAGGTCTGTATGAGGGGCAGAAGTGGTGGCATGCGCTTTGGTGGCCTCCATCTCGTCAAGCCGACGCTGAAGGGCCGCAATGATTTCGTCTCGGGGGTCCTTCGGGGGGGCCTCTGCCCCCTGCGAATGGACACGGGCCGAGTGGGCCTGGTTGATTTGGTGGCGGGCGTCGTTGGCATGGAGAGGTGCCTTGCCTTTGTCCTGAGGGGGACGCCTTTCATTGGCCCGGGAGACGGATCCACCACTTTCCTGAGGCCTCTGGAATGCCTTCGCCCCGAGCCGGTCTTGGACCCCTCGGCGGTCTTGCGCCCCTCCGAGTCTCTCGAGGGCGGAGGTCCGGAGTTGTTCTTTGTTCACGTTGTGGCGGTCCCGGGACTGGACTTCTTGGGAGGCCGTATCTTAATCCACGACCTCCTCGACGTTCCCAATCCAGAGGACAGGGTTCCCGAGGGGGTGTGGATGAGGGGGAGGCATGACATTCTCCCCGACCTGAGGCTGGAGGGGAACCAAAGTGCCGAAGGCACCCGGGTTCTGGGTGAGCGTCTGGATGAAGGCGGAAAACGCCGAATGCACGTCGATGGTGATGACCGGAGGGCTAATTTGATTCTCGCTCCGGTCCTTCTTCTTGGCCTCGATGCCGAGGCGGGCATCAGGGGCATTCTGTTGAATCTGAGGGCGTAGGTCGACAGCCGTCTGGTCAAACCCGGCGATGACGCCGCCCCCTGGAGCCCTGTTGGAGGCTTCGGGGACGTCGACTTCGCCGAGGGCCAGGTTCCTGTCCTCAACGTTCTTGGAGTTGGCACGAGTTGTTCTCACCATTTTAGCTAGGTGTTTTGTGTTTGGCGAGGGGGAGGGTTTCTTACTTGATTGGTCGACCTCTCAACGAGAGCACCAAATGATGGATAGTGTACCCGGGGGGTAGCTTATCCGAGGGGTTATTGCGGAGAATAACTAGAGAGAAGTCAGAGCAAAAGTAAGAGAGAGATTGTATTGCTGAGAAAGTAGTGAGCGTATTTTGTTCTGGGTTACAAATGGGGAAACGGGGTTGCTAGTTATAGTAGCAATAAATGCCACATAGGGACACGTGTCAAGCATCCATTGGTCGAGGGGTCACCTCAACTGGTTGGCGCTGGCAATCGCATGTGGCCGCATTTAATGCGGCTGTTGGATGTGACGTCGTACTTGGTACGGTGATCCAGGCGCATGTGGAGCGGATATTATGTCGGGAAAGGCGCCCTCGGCTGCAGGTGATTGGCCGAGGGCTTTGAGTACCGGGGATCTCCTTAGTGCCGAGGGCTCTAGGTGCCGAGGGCTACTGATTTTCGCCGTTTTCTTCCAGTAACTTTGTTTTCTTGATTTGGCCATCCTGTGAGAATTGGAGCCTTCGGCCAGGGGCCCGAAGGCACCCCTAGTGTGCCACGTGGGTTGCTTAGTACTTGGGCCGCTGTGATTTGGGCCTGCTGTGCTTCCTGAGCCTATTGGGCCTCCATTAGAATAGTAGGAGTCTATGGGCCGGGGGTTCCTGGGCCATATACTCCATCACCAACAATCACCCCCTAATCTTGTTGTCCTTTATTTAGAACTCCTTACGGACACGTTCAGAACCCACACACATAGATTTGATGTGTTAGTCCCTGTTTCTGTAACAGCAATGAATAACGATCTTACAACGAAGATTAAACGTAAGGATGAACACAGAATGAATCAACGTAAAACCTTCTTTGATAGACCGTGAACTCGTACAACACAAAAGTATGCGCGTAAGGCTATGAAAAATAAGTACGACGTTAACCTATTCCTAAACCCTCGGCTCCCTTTTTATAGGCGAGGTTTAGGTTAGGCGTACAAGGCTTTTAGCCTGTTTATATGGGCCTAACACTTGGCCCGATTGCTATCTAATTCATGCACTAATTAAATACAAGGATTAAATATAAAGCTAATCTATGACCAACTTGATTCACAATTAAATATCTCCAACAATCTGCCCCTTTGTGATCAAGTGCCATTCTCTTATTGCTTCTGAGACTTGAAGTAGTGCTTCCTCATACCAAGTGCATGTTCATATTGCCTCAACGTATTTCTCTTTTCTAGGCGATCGTCAATGGCCTTTAAAATTGTCTCTACTGTAGAGTGTTCCTTTTGAACATAAGACGATGCCTCTTGAAGATTTTCCTCTAGCTCTGCCTTCATCTTTAGAATCTGTTCTTTGATTATCTTCAGTGTTCCATCACAGTACTTCTCAATTTCACTGACTACCATCAGACGTTTTTCGTTCTTGTGGTTCAGATAGGTGACTGCTGGCGGTGTGAAGAAGATGTGGTAGGCTGGGAAGTCTTCAAGTTCTGGACCATACAGTCTTGGCTTTGTCAGATTTGTCTTTTTCAGATTGCACTCAATAGCCATCTGTAGGTCATGTGAAGAGTGTACTCGGATCTGTCTAAGCATGAATCTCTTGATAGCTGCGAGGCCTTCGCTGTATATTATGCTCTGCCTGACTGGAAGGTATCTGTAGGCCATGAACATTTGATAGATGTCGTCCGGTTTCAGCATGATGAAGTCATTCTCTTGGCAAGTAAATTCGCTCCCGTCAGTGCGTTGAAGTCTGTAAGTGTAGAATGTTACTCCATGATAATCTTCAGCCTTCACTTGTAGAATTTGATGAATCGGGAGAATATTCGACTTCAGATCTTGTTCCATCAGTTCTCTCTGTGTACCGGTTGACCTTTGTAGCAGCATATGCAGATGACCTCCAGCCTGCTTTCCTTTTAAATGAGTAAGGCCTCTTAGCTTCAGTTCATTCAGCGGCTTGACTCTGTCTGGTCTACGCCAGATATGCTCTCTGATTTCTTCTTGGAAGGGGGCTTTGATGCGAACATTATCCCAGGGTTTCTCTGTCTTGGGAAGTCTTCCCGCTGATTGTCTTACGACCGATTCAAGAGTTTTCTGGGATTCTTTGTAATTCTCCCCTTCCTTGCGTTCATCGTCCTCAAGCCTTATGATATCTTCAGAGCATTTGTTAATTAACTCTCGTAGCCACCAATTTCTTTGCATGTCTTCTTGTTCGGCCTCATTCCGAAGATCATCCCATTCTGTCCATTGTCTCGGCCATTTGTCATATATCACCGCCTCCTCCAGTGCATCATGGATGTCTTTGCCTGGGGAGATGTATGGAACTCTTTGTTGCCTTTGAGGCGGTGATTGTTCCTGAGTAGCACTACCGGGTTCACTTGGATTGCCTGTTGACATCAGCTTAGAACTAGGTTCCAACTGATGGCCTGATGCAGAAGATGTACCAGTGGTAACATCATCAGGACTTCCATCCCCTCCTCGGTTGGTATCTCTTGGAGATACGCCTCGGGATGTTATTTCTAGCTCGACCATGCTAGATAAGTTGGCTGTGGGTGGTGGCTGTTGGTTTGTCGAGGTTTCGGGTTGAATGGGCTGTGGAGTTTGGCTTGGTAGGGCAGTTTGCTCAAGTGATCGAGGTCGCTTGTTCTCCCCCTCATGAGGATCCGAATCATCGGGGTCCTCATGGGAACGTTTGCGACCACGAGGACTCTCCTTGCAAGTGCTCTTGGTTTCAGGTGAAGAAAGAAGGGCTTCAAGTATGGCTTGCTGATGAAGAGTAAGTTTGTCTTCAGGGGTGTTAAGGAGGTTGTTCAGCAAAGCCGACGCTAGTGTGTCAAAGGATAGTGAGGAGAGATCGATGGAGGGTGTGGTCGGGTGTGGGGAGAATACTGGTTCTGTATCCTGGGTTCCCCGAGAAAGAGAAGGAATGGGATTTGGTTTATGGATTGGTGGGATAGAGGGGTGGAGGATACGGGTTGTGTATGGGAGATAAACGGTTCAGGTGAAGGTTGAGGTGGGGTTTGTTCAGACCGAACCGCTTGGGTGGTCCTAAATTCCTGTGCTAGAGCGGTCATTGCATCTTGCACCCATGGTTTAATGGTGGAATCTAGGAAGCGATTGAGTAGAACGTTTACGTCTTCAAAGGTAGGGTGACCAGTTACAGGGGTTGTAACTGTTGACACAGCATCAGTGAAGATTGCTGATGTGTGGCCTGCATTTAATGATGGAATCATTATGGGCGTAGCAGGGCTTCCAACCGTCATAGCTTGCGCTCTGGTTGTTGCGTTCAGGGTGTGTGCACCTGTATGTGCAGTGAATAGTGTAGGTGTCCTAGAAAATGAAGAAAATGTGGGGAATGTGACACCTAGACTCGATGTGTGAGAAGAAGGGGTTTTGACCTCGGGAGATAGGTCAATTGTACGCTCAACTGATTCAGAAGGAACCAGCGAGGGGGTGGAGTCCCGTTCTTTTGAAACAATAGCCTGTTGAGAGGCTATCGAGTGGCTGGGAGAGGGCTGTGCTTGCGCAATTGAGCCAGATGCTGCGACTTCTACCCGGGAACCGAAAACATCGGCTCCTGTGCTTAGGGATTCAGCTCGGCTTATCTGGATAAAGGTGTCGCAGCCCGCGAAGATATGCTCGTCTGCCTTATCAATCATGCTCTTTCTGGCTCGGGGCTGGGGCTTTGCCTTGGCAGCCTTGTCATTCTTGAACTTTGCCCTTTTCTCTCGGATGACGACTTCCTCTGAATTCTTAATTGAATGAGTCGCCTCGTCATAATCGTCCTTGGAGCAATTTGTCTCGCTGGGATCGGCTCTCGGTTTAGCTTTTTCTTTGATTGTGAAGACTTGAGGTCTGCCAGCGATTATTGGTGCTGCGTCTTCAGCAGTAATTCTTTTCTTTTTCGGAGATTCGACTGGCAGCTTCCCTTTTCTGATCAGGGCATATGTGAGATCCACGTCATCACTGTCATTGTCATCGTCGTCATCATCCGAGCCAGATTCCCCGCTCTCCGTGCCCACGCTCTCGGAAGCCTCGTCGTCAGTGTTAGTTTGGGCTTCACTTGACGATTCATTGGCTGTTCCTCAGCGTCTGTTTCGGTGCCCTCAGCCGCCTGACTCGTCTCTAGAGAGTCGTCAGACTTTCCTTCATTGGGCGAACCGGACACTGGTTTCTGTGGCTTTTGGGCTCTCTTGGGACCCTTACCAACACTCGGCTTTGCCCCTGGGGTAGGTCCAGCTGGGTTTTGCTGAACCATAGGGATAGTTTTTTCTGTGGCTTCCTTGTATTGCTGGACTGCTGGATTTGAAGATTTGACCAGCTTGAGCAGAAATCCAGGTATCTTCAGACCAAAGGTAGGATTCTTGTCTGCTTTAAAATACTGTAGCTTCGGTGCTGTGAAGTGAGGATCCGTACTGCGTTTTGGTATGGAGACGTGCTCTGCCATGCAGTCGTGTATGATCAGCCCGAGCCATCTTGCGTACGGAATGGTACCTGGCATATTCTTTTCTTTGGCTTTGACCAGGTCCATTAGCTCTGAAAAGAAGAGCTGTGCCAAGTCATAATTTTTGTTGAAGGCGATCCCATGGAAGACTAGCAGTATTTGCTTGTTGCATTTGTCGAAGCCGGCATGCTTTGGCGACAAGCACTTATTCACCAGTCCGAATAGACTCTTCCACGGGTGATGGAGATAGGCTCCGTTGAAGTTTGACAGTTATGGCAGCAGTGAGGTGTAGCCGAGAGATGCCACGTCTTTGAGCAGATCAGGGATGGATGACAGTGCATCATATGTGTCGTGAACTGGCAGCGCTAGTGTAGATTGCAGTGTTGATGGCGTCAGGATTACGCGCATGCCATTCAGTTTAGTCTTGATTTTGGAGCGATCCTTCGCTGATTCAGTATGCATGTGGCCCCAGAATTGTTGTAGGTATATCTCTGGCACTGGTTTGGCGTTGTGAAGTGCAGGCCAGAGATAGTGACCTTTCATTATGGCCGGAATGATCGGGTTCTGGCACTTGAAGACTGCAAGGTCTAGCTGGAAATTGTTGTCCAGCACCTTGATCCATTTTCCTTGGGAGTAGATGGCATCATCGATCTGTGTTTTAGTGTTTCCTGCCATTTTAAACTGTAGAAGCAGAGGGTCAGCACATGAAGTTCAACTGTTTGATTTGATTGAAAGAGTTTGATTTGCAGTTGTAGATAAGTTTATGCAGGTGGAAATTTTCAAAAAAAAATGCTAAGTCCAAATCTCGAGATCTGAATCTCGAGACCATGATTTTGAGATCCAAATCTCGAGATCAAGATGTCGAGATATAGATCTCGAGATCTTGATTTCGAGATTCAAATCTCGAGATCAAGATGTCGAGATGCAGATCTCGAGATCTTGATTTCGGGATTCAAATCTCGAGATCAAGATGTCGAGATGCCCATCTCGAGATCTTGATTTCGAGAAGATGAACCGACGATTTCGAAGAGATTAACCACCTGCAAAAACGAAAGCAAAAGATATACGAAATCGATTTCAAGCAAGATAACGACATTAAAAATTTAAGTTGATTTAGATTTTTGAGAAATTTCACGGGTTTATTTTTGCGAAATCAAGCATACATCTTGGATGTCGAACACGAACAAAATTTCGAGATTGATCGTTCGTTGAGAGGGTTTTTGTAACTCGAAATCGAATGATAAACTACCTTGAAGGTTTTCGGGAAAGAGAATCGATCGAAGAAGAAGAGAGTAAGGGAAGTTTTGGAGGAGCTCTGCTTTGCGAAATTAGTCTTTGCGAAACGTTTTAGAAATAGGAAGTGAAGGGTTTTTCGAGGCTTATATACGCGATAAAAAATTTGGACCTCCTCCGTAGCAAATGAGCCCGAATTATAGGGCTGGCACACAGTGCTCTTTTTAAAAGATTTTCGAGGCCCAAACCAGTAAAAAATAGAGAGCTCCCCCTTAATCAGTGAAAATTTTCTCCCCCTCAAAAAATGCAACAAACAATATGTACAAATGCAACGCACACACACTATTTTTGTTCTTTTTGATTTTTCACCCACTCAACACATGCAACGCACGCACACTATTTTTTTTGTTATTTTTCTGGTTTTTCCCCCTCAACACATGCAACGCACACACACTATTTACAGTTCACACGCACACACACTTTTTACAAGTCCCACACACACACACTTTTCAGATCAGTGGAGACAAAAATTAAACAGGCTCGAGGTTCAACATGCCCAACTTGGAGACCAGGAACTGGAATCTTTTTTCATCCAATGCCTTAGTGAACAAGTCAGCCAGTTGAAGCTCTGAGCTTACAAAATACATATCTATATCTCCTTTCTCCACGTGATCCTTGATGAAATGATAGCGCAGATCAATGTGTTTGGTGCGGGAGTGGTGAACCGGATTGCTTGTGATGGCGATGGCGCTTTGAGAGTCACTGTAGATCGGGATGTGGCAGAATGTGTAACCGTAGTCCTGTAGCTGAGTCTTCATCCATAATATTTGTGAACAACAACTAGCAGCCGCGACGTATTCGGCCTCAGCTGTAGATGTTGACACACATTTTTGCTTTTTGGAAGACCAGCAAACTAGCTTCTCGCCCAAGAATTGGACGGCTCCCGATGTACTTTTGCGGTCCATCCGGCAACCAGCAAAGTCAGCATTCGAGTATCCGACTAGATCAAAGCCTAAATGCTTGGGATACCAAAGGCCTAGATTCACCGTGCCTTTGAGGTATCTTAAAATTCGTCGTACAGCTGTCAGATGGGATTCCTTTGGATTTGCTTGAAAGCGAGCACATAAGCATGTGGAGAAGACAATGTCAGGCCTGCTTGACGTGAGATACAGCAAAGATCCAATGATGGCCCTGTAGTTTGTAGCATCAACTGGCTTCCCGGAGGGGTCTGAGTCCAGTTTGTTGTTTGGGGACATGGGGGTCGTCATGGAAGATTTGCCTTCTATGTTGAATCTCTTTAGCATATCTAGAATGTATTTGGAC